TTTTTTGAGGATGTTTCTTCTGGTTTTCCAGTTTACCTTCCATCGTAAACCCACGCTAAATTCCAATTCATTCTGTGAGTGTGACTTATATCGGTAAGGGGTAATTGATAGGAACAGACGTTGTTTGCATCTCCAGCACCCAATATCACCCCAAAGTGGCTTACAGAGCACTTTTCGGTTTTAGCGTAATGTTTTTATATTTTTGACCACCTGCCATTCTCTGAGAATAAGATTCTTTGGTTGAGTTGTATTCATATTCATGTGTCTTGCAACTGTTAAACAAAGAAATTATACTATAGGTAATGACAAGTAGTTTGAAATGGAAAACCTAACGCCTCAGCACAAGGCCAAAAAATATATTAATAACAGCAGTATGCAATGAATAAGGATGTTAAATAACGAATATATCTGTTTTAATCCGTCCTCAGCTTTGGTTGCACCATATAACGTGACAAGCCTGAACCAAACCGGTTCGACAATCTATATTTACTGGAACTTTAGCACAGCCGAGTTGTCAAACATTGAGGGATTTCGAATCAAGTACAAAACGATGGATGCCGTGTTTATCGGTTACATAAATATTCCGTCCAACCTCAGTCAGGCCGATCTCAGGGGTTTGAACAGCTCAACAGTATATCAAATAGCTGTTCAATCTTACAAAACTAATAGTAATGGACCATTCAGTGCGATTCTTAATGCATCAACCACGGACGGCAGTAAGTCCTTTAATTTTCTTTGATCATTTGATTACATTGATAACTTTACTAAGCGGACCTCTTAACAAACGAGTTGCACTGAAATCTTTTTCATATAATTATTRTAAAACAAACCTCTATTAAACAGACACCCGGCAAGGTCCCGAAGGTGTCAAGGTATTTGCATCCCTTTTTACCTTAGGCGTAAAAGGTGCACATTTCRAATCACGTGTATGTCATAAACTAAAGAGTATCATTTCCTTGAAACGACTGAAACAAAGAATATAATTCTAAAGAGAATGACACGTGGTCTGAAATGGGAAAATATTACTCGCAAGAAAAGAGGTTTACTATCAAGAGCTCGATGATTCAAGATATCATTGCAAAACCTTTATCCTTATAACCGGATGTTCGATATTTTGTTTAGTACCCGATGCTGCTCCAGAAAGTGTGCAAGGCTCTACGATTAATGCCACTTCCGTTACCGTCAAGTGGTCCCCTTTCAACCCTGACTATGCAGATGGCGTCATCATTGGATACCACATTGAAAGTTACATCGCAAACGGGGAGAACGCTGGAGGGAATTTTTCTTCAAGGATGATCTGTAACACTTCGACGACTCTTCATAATCTCTATCCCTTTACCGATTATTATGTGAATGTGTCTGCCTTCACGTTTCATGGAATTGGTCCTGCAATACAAGTCTTTATACCAAACCAGCCCACAGGTTAGAACATGAGCGGGTGGATCAAGGCAGAGGGTACGGGRGAAACGTCTCTAACTAGCCCACGGGTAAAGGGAGATGAAGAGAATGGGTCATCACCTCCTTTGCATCCCGAACCAACCCACGGGAAAGAACATGCGGGGATCAAGGCACAGGGTCCTGGGTTCAAGATCCTTCTATTGGTACCATTTTTCGGTGTATAAAGTAACACACCTTCTGTGTATTTAATTACACTGACTCATTGCCATACGCAAACCCCTTCTAATTAAATATCAAAGAGGAATAGACATTAGTATGCAAGGGGAATATGTCATACGAATGTTTATTCCCCTGCATATTTAACTAGTGCGTTAGCCCCAAATCTTCCCTGAAGAATTAAAAGCCGCACCCGGCTTTGAGACTCTTGGGAATTGGGGGAGGGATTAGCGATATATTCAACCGAGAAGAACAATGAAAACCGATCTGATGGAAAAATAATAGGTCATTGTTTACCTAGTCAATTTTGATCTTTTCATGCTTGTATTTTTGCAGTTCCAAAAATACCTCCTACTTCTGTAAGCACAAGCGAAATCCAAAGGACAGCCATTAACATCGCTTGGGGTCCTGTACCCGAGGGATCTTCGCTTGTCCCAATCACAGGGTATATGGTATGGTACAGAGAGCACCTCCCCAGTCCATCAAGTTCTTTAAACATCACTATACAAATCAATAATTCGATGAGTTGTCTGATAGAAGGACTAAAGGACTATACAAAGTATGAAATTAGAGTAGCTGCAATTAATAGAGCAGGTGTTGGTGTCTATAGTCCACAAATGGTTGAACGCACGGCCGAGGGACGTAAGTATTGTAGGTTTTTTGTCCATCCATTTATGAATAAATACCTCCCTTATTTCTTTATTCTTTCCATCTATTTATCTATCGTTCTATCCATTAATCTCTACTCTCTCTTTCGATATGTCCATTTATCCTCCATCCGTCCGTTCACCCATCGTTAATCAAAACATTTCTACCTCCATTCTTCTTTCCTTCTGCCCTTTCATCGGTCCCGTCCGTCCATTAATCCATGAAATCCCCGCTATCTTTTCCTTCGTCCATCCAACCGTCCATCTGTCGGTCCACCTATCAATTCGCGAATACTTCCCTCCCTTCCTCTTTCCCTATTTCCTTCCATCCGTCCAACCCATTCATCAATCATTCCTTTTAAACACATTTATAGTATATAATCCCCAAATTTTCATTCATGATTCATTCAGTTCATTGACCCTATCTTTAAATTTGCCTAATATAACAGATCCRAGGAGTGTTGTTTCCAATGCAACGACTAGTCACATGACAAGGAACAGCTCTATAATTCAGTGGAATCCTTTGCCGCCATCAGACTTGTCAGGTGTTTTGGCCGGTTATACCATCAATATATATGATGTCCTGAGAAAAGTGAATGTTACTCGGATGGTATGCGGTAACACAACTAGTACACAGCTGAGTGATCTGTTCCCTTATACTGAATATTTAGTCTATATAAGTGGTTTTACCAAAGGGGGCGAAGGAAATACTACTCTGGTTACTAGTTTTTTCACTCTAGAAGCAGGTGATTCTCCTTAGTTATTATTATTACTTATCCTAATGACACAGTATTACTCTACACCACACCTCTTTATTTCGTTTCTTTTTTCAAGTAATACTTCCCTCGCATGTGAAAGGGATTTTAGAAGAGGTGATTACAACACACTACACTAAACAAACTAGACTACACTACGCAATTGAGATACATTACAATTACGATTGCATCAAACGACACCACACTACACTACACCACAACACGGTGCACTAAAACAAACCACATGACAACACGCTACYCATTAACGCACACAMGCACCGTAACACATTTCTTTTCCTAACTTTGGCTAACTTGTGTGTCTATTCTCCTGTCGATCTGCCAATAGCTCCTAATGCTCCGCCTCAAAACGTCACATCACGCAACACAAGCTCCGTATCAATAGAGCTCACGTGGTCACCTCCTCCAATCACAAACATCAACGGCAAACTGAGAGGTTATTGCATCACGTGGTTCAAGACCTTTGGAGATGGTCAAGAAATTTTTAACAAGACGATTGACATCCAGCCTTCGGCTCGCAGAAGGAAAAGAAGTRTTAGTGATCGAACTCTACAGACTTTAACCCTGAGCGGCTTAGAGAAGTTCACCATGTACACTATACGAATACTTGGATTTACTATTGCCARTGGAGTGTTCTTTGAGACAAATACCACCACGGCTGAGGACGGTATGTGTTGATAGTCAGCCCGCACTGAAATTGTTCTTGCATAATGAATTGTAGGTAATCCCTTATTAATTCCCAACACGACAAAAAGTCACTTGATTCAGGCCCGACATTTTTGCTCTTCATAACTTAGCATTTACAGCAACCCTCTATTAATTGGTCACCGGGTAGTTTCAAGCGGCCGATAAATAGAGGTTAGATGTTAGCCGGGGTGGCTGCTTCAATCTCCTAAGATATTGATGAAATATAACTGTTTGATAACTGGCCGTTTCTCGAGGGATGAGTAAAATGGGTCCGCATGTGCTTTACCAACTAAAAGATTTAATTTATAACAACCTTTTTTCCCACTTAGTGCCTAACGTACCACCTCCAAATATTACCGCTTCGAATTCCAGTTCAACAAGCATKTTCGTTTCCTGGCAACCAATCCCCGTGGAATCCAGGCACGGAGTATTTTTAGGATATCACGTGCTTTACCAAGAGGGCAATCAGATGAGCTCGACTCCTTTGGCCATCACTGTCAATCATTCAGTGTTARATGTTGAGCTTAATAATCTTAAGAAGTTCACTGGTTATGTTGTCTTCGTTGCTGGTTTTACGACACCCGGTACAGGAAACTTGTCCAGTCCGGTTAATGTCACTACTGATGAGGACGGTAAGTATTGACACTACACATATTTGACAAATACCTGGTACGGAAAACCATTCCAAGGGCGGATCCAGGGTTTTTTGAAGGGGGGTCTCAGGAGTAAATTTTGTGGGCAAAGGAATATAATCCCAGTCGCATTTTTACCACAAGAAGCCCATTTGACCTCAGAATGACAGGAGGGTCGCGACCCCCCCGACCCTCCCCCTGGATCCGCCCTTGCATTCCTGTCGGGTTAATGTCACTACTGATGAGGACGGTAAGTATTGACGCTACACATATTCGATAAATACCTGGTACGGAAAACCATTCCTGTCGGGTTAATGTCACTACTGATGAGGACGGTAAGTATTGACGCTACACATATTTGACAAATACCTGTTACGGAAAAACTTYCCAGCTCGGTTAATGTTTCTACTGATAAGGACGATAAGTAATGACACCCATATTACACGGGATTTGGTATGAATGTGTATACGTAATTTCTTATATTTCTAAAATAGAAGTTTCGCCATTTGATTAATTCCTATAACCTTACCTATCCATTTAATGTCGTTTCTCTTTGTTAATCATAGTCCCAGACGAAGCACCTGTGTCTCTAGCAGGAACCGCTCTGAGCATTACCAAACTCTCGTTCACATGGCAACCAGTTGCTTCTGACAAGCATAATGGTATAATCCTAGGGTATACTTTAGCACTAAATCTGATGAATACCAGCCTAGCCAAGACAGTTGTTATCAACAATGCTAGTATCTTGACCACTGAGGTGGCAGGGTTGTTATCATGGACAAACTATACGGCAAAGATCAATGCCTTTRCGATCAAAGGACCAGGGCCTTGGAGTCCGGGGGTACTTGTCACTACACTTGAAGAACGTAAGTTCTATCTCTAACGTCATGCTCCTTGAATTTTCGTATAGCTATGTTCAATTTAGGTCTAGTTGCGTCACACTTTCTAACGTAATACTGTATTTGATTTACGTTTAGTTCCTTCAGCCAAGGGCACTAGGACACCGAATGTGGTTGGATTTCCATAGGTTTTTTTTTCCTTTCGATTATTTGAATTAAATCAACGTTATACTTGTTTACTTATCTTGCGTCCGTGTTCCTTCGTTCGCTGTTGTAATGCAGACGTTTTCATTCCAAAGGTCAAACGGTTTGAATAGCCTATGAGCGTTACTTCTTTAACGGCCGTTCCGTACTTGACTCTGTTTGTACTATACCAACAACAACGCGACCGCGCGATGCTCCCTACGTCAGTAATATTCAACCGTCCAGAGTTTATATGGTTAATCAAATTCACYTTAAGTTCCATATAGAGCCCCGGGGTAGGCTACTAGCCTGCTTGCCATTGTTCTCTCGTCTGCTCGCTTAATCCAATTATTTTGAAAGGTGGGGTGGCAGTGTGTTTACA